AGAGATCCTCACTTTGGGTAGCCTTGTGAATCCCTCGTAACTCCCATTCACAAGATCTCTCAGTACTCTTCACTCATAAAATTTCTCCCAAACACACACTAAATGGTCCCTCTTAAGAGATATTTGAAGTAAATGATTATAAGGTAATTTTTAGGACTCTTTATATAGAAAATATGTGAAAAACTATCCAAAAATTGAATTTTTTAAGAGAATGATCCTATGATTGTACTGTACGATCATGGATTATCCATTATGAACAATTCAAAAAATTAGGGCTTCATTCTGTATGAACTTGGATAAACACAATTTCGTATACTATTAATCATCTATATGAATTCACATTGTACTATACTAATAGTTCAAAAATAAATGTATTCATTCAGTATGATCTGATATGAATCTAATTTCATACTCTATCAGTCATCTATACGAATTCACATCGTACTGTACAAACAGTTCAAAAATGAATGTGTTTATTCGGTATGTGGTGCAAACATAATTTTGTATTTTGTCACTCATCTATATGAATTGACATCATACTATACAAATAATTCAAAAATAAATTTGTTCATTCGGTATGATCTGGTATAAATCGAATTTCATACTCTATTTGTCATTTGAATGACTTGACATCGTACATTACAAATAGTTCAAAAATTCAAGCCATGATTTATTAATTGCATTATGGAGGAAAATACCTGTCAAATTATACAGTATAATTAAATATCATACAATACAATATGTTTTAAAAAAATTATCACACTCCCCTTATATTTCTGCATAATTATCAAATTACAAATACATTTTCTTAGACTCAAGAAATAAAAGTAGAGATATATAAACTCTATTACATGAAATCTTAATCTACCTTCTCTTGAAGTCTTCAGTAATTTGGAGTAGTATATGATTTCCCTGAAATATTAGTACATATAATAACAAATAGAAATATCCAATATATGCTAGGAGAAACAATAAAATAATAATAATAATAATATATTGTTATCATAAAAAATTATAATCTCAATGTTGATTCCTTATTTGCAACAAAAGGATATGAAAGTTTAACTAAAATGGGACATTTTGATATCCAATTTGAATTCCAATGAGAAAGGAAACATCCCTTAGGAGAGAGTTCCTTTCATTTGGAAATTCAAATTTGGATGACTTAAAAATCTTAAAAAACAAGAAACACTCCTTCAAAGAGTTATTTTCATTTAGATGCTTGGACATGACAAATCCATGGAGATCAAAGGAAGGAGATGAAGAATTGAAGAACATAAAGAAAAACATCCCATTTTAGAAACTTGAGTACTTATTAGGTTTAGAATCTAGATTGTTGTTAGTGGTGCCCGACCACTTTTAATTTCTACGAACCCTGGGTTATAATTAAGTGGCACTTGCTATAAGGCCTTTCTTACATTCATTCAATATATTTTGCTGGTGTATTATGATTGATTGTTTACCTACATGCTTAATTGTTTCATAATCTTTTAAGGTTACTTACTTTACATGTCATTTTTTTAGCTTATATACGATTAAGCCCTCTGAGGATCAAAATTATTCTACTCATCACTATGTAAAAAAGAATTAGGCGAACATAGAAAGATAATTGAATCTAAGAAGTAAGATTGGCCATGCCAAGGGTCCCATACATACATATTTAACTTCTCTTCCTTACTAGGCATCTCCCTGCCTTTGGGTCATGGTAAACTACATGACCTATAAGGGTGCAGCTCTATATAAGGGATGTTGTGCAACCTCTAGGGTAAAAATTATATTCTAAGATAAATTTTTAAAGTATTTCATATCATTTATGCATACAGGTCAATCATCATACATTATATTAGAAACCAACAAAATTAATAAATTTTTAATTACATTTAAGAATAATTATCCAACATAAGTAAAGGGGCCAATTTGAAACTTCTCTAAATGTTAGCCCCAATTTTTCAAAAACATTAATAACTACCTACCCTTCTTTCATAAAGATCAGACTTATGGTTTTAAAGAACCTAGGTGGTTTAATTGGCTCTCCAAGACATGCCGAGGTACGCCCAACTTTGCATGTCATTAATTAGGTTTGGGTCACTATCATTTAGTGTCCAACTTAGACCTAGATGTAAGGTGGACCAAAAATTAAAGGTCTCCAATATCGAGAATATAATCCCAACATTCTAATAATATGACAACTTAAATTAAAATCTTCTATAAACCAAAATGTAAAGCTAATACATAGGATAGATTGTAGTAATTCTAAATTATTTCAAAATCCTAAAACACTTCCTATTTTTCACCATTTGACCTCCAAATAATTGTTCAAATTTTCTCCAATCTCTACTAAAATTTTAACCTCACCCCTTTCGTATCACTTAAATGAAATTTCTACCATTAATTTAATCCAAAGTATTCATACAAAACTTAAAATTTTTATATTGAAATTAATTATGAATACTTGCCTTCATAAAATATTCAAGACCCTATAAAAATAAGATTCCGTTCATTTTAGCTCCTAAATATAATAGGGGGAAAGAAATTATCATTTTAGAGAAAATAGAAAAAAAATCTTGATATATCATTACCATCATATTCAAATGATTAATGATAAATGCAATTCTCTTTCCTTGGGAAGATATATTGATTATCACTATGATTCAAAATATTAAATAAAAAATACTATATCTAGATTATCATAGCTAAATACTCTATCGAACATCATCTTAACCCTTCAGTGACATATGTAGTTCTTTCTTGAATTTAACTATAAATAGGATGAACTTATAGTTTTATAATATAAATCCATTATGAAATGATAATTTCACCTTCAGAGATGATATATCATTTATAATTATGTGTTCAATTCAAAAACTAATTTTTTAGAAATCAAATTTTCCCAAAGAAAATATAATCAAAAATAACTTCGTGCTTTTCAATAAAACTTGAACATAGGTCACAGTCTTAATAAGATTAAGTTCATTTCTCTCATTTGCAATAATAGTTAATCCTCCTTTCTTAGGAACAGAATGAATGGGACTTACCTAATCATTAACAAAATAAGAGAAAGGATATATCTATCTAACCATTTTAAAATTTCTTCTTTACCACTTCTTTCATGCTCAGATTTAACCTCCTATGTGGGTCCGCTTTAGGTTGGCAGGCTTCTTCTAATAGAATCATATGTATACAAATGGAATGACTAATCTCCTCATTGATAGTAATAGACCAGACTAATGAAATTTTATATGAACTATGGACTTTAATCAACTTACCTACCTAATTTTTTCAAGCTTAACAGAAATAATGACATGTAAATTTTACTCCTCTGCTCTAAAAGGCATAATTTAAGTGGGCAGGAAGTGCTTTCTTATTCTAACTTTGGTGCCTCAACTACATATAAGCTTAAATATTTTCCTTTGGCTAATGTATCTACGACCTCAAAAATCTCTCCAAACATCCTATTGATTTCATTAAAATGATTAAAAACATTTCCTTCCATCTTATACAAATCATCCTCAAACAACACCATATGTCAAACTACCACCTAGAATTTCCTCCATAACTTCCTCTAAACAACTTTCAATAGAATCCCCTTCATAACAATCCTCACCCTGGTGTTTAGGAAACTTCATTGATTTAAAGACATTAAAGGTGACTTTCTAATCTTGGACTCTCATAGTTAATTCTCCTTTTTTAACATCAATTATAGACCAACTTATAGCTAAGAAATATCTATATAAGATAATAGGTATTTTCCTATCTTCCTCCATGTCTAGAATAATAAAATCTATAGGGAAAATGAATCTATCCACCTTCACTAAAACATCATCTATTTCCACCTTAAGATAGGTGAGTGGAAAATTAGTTGGTTGTAGGGTAGCATTGGTAGGTAAGACTTCTCTTAGGTCCAGTTAAAATGATAAAGGGCACATGATTAATACTAGCACCTAAAAATTTATCTCTTATAGACATCATTATAGTGAAACTATTAGGGTCCTTAAGCTTTTGTGGGATTTGTTTATGTATAATAGAACCACACTCTTTAAAAGGGCTATGATTTTAAAATCTCCTAATTTCTTCTTTGTACTTAAAATATCTTTCATAAATTTTTCATAACTATGCATTTGTTCTAGTGCTTCAACAACGATATTAATTATTAATTTTTTAATGATCACAAAAAAATCTAGAAAACTGCCAATCCAAATTTTATTTAAGAAAAGTCCGTCAACTACCTTCCTAATTGGTTTTTCTACTTCTTTGGTAAGTTGAGAATACTTCTCAGCATTAACATGTACTAATGGGGTTTTCACAATAATATCTTCTATTAGCTTTTATTTTTTTCTAACCACTTTCTCTAATTCTTTTTCACTCCTCACCTTAAAAGCTTTGAATTATTCCTTACCCTTTATTAACCAATAAATGCTTTTTATCCTTAAGTTGATTATTTAAGTGAAATCAAGGGGAATAATGAGGCCTAGTGTTTGCAAAAGTTTAAAGATGGTGATCCTATTTTCTTCTTTATTTGGCTAGCTAGAGTTCCAATTATTGTTAGCATTTTGATTATTACTCTAGTTAAAATTTGGATGATTTTTTCAAATGAAATTATAAGCATTTTAGAAAGTGTTATTTGTTTTATTGTTTAAGGCATTAAATGGAACTACTCTTGATATATTTCCATCATTAGAGGATCAGAAGATATTCTAGCTCTTCTATAGTAAAAGGTGACTTTTTGGGAAAATGATTCCAATATTATCTAATTTTCTAGATATATTCACTACTTATGCAATTAAAATTGATATAGCATCTGATTCATAAGCACTAGCTACCTTCCAAGGATTAAATCTTTTAAAGAAGCCATTAAAATATTGATAGTCATCTCCTCAATCAAAGCACATGCCTCATCAAATGGATTTAACATTAGAGAACCACCATCATTATCATAAATAACTTATCTAAGATAAAATTTAAGTCTAATATATAAGGTTTCAATGATTAGCCAATCTAAGAAGGCATGTTGAGGACACTTCCTAATGAGTTCTTTAAATCTTTCCCATGACTCATAAATAAATTCATCATCTAACTAGGTAAATAAGATGATATCATTTCTTACCAATTTTAGATGGGGATAATGTTTAGCTAAAAAATTATGGGCTAAGTCATTCCAAGTTGTAATTGAGCCTATGTAATAACTCAAATTTTTTAAAACAAATTTTACCTACAACAGTCAACAATTTATTCGGGAGTCATTATAAGCCCAAATCATAAATCATCTTTGTATAACATTTCTATTGTTGTGTTTTAGTTTTTTGCGTATATTCATAAAATAAAATCATTTTATTATTTATTAATTTTAATATTTTATTTTATTTTAATTTAAAGTTTTATTGTCATATTTTGTTATTTAAATATATTAAATTATGCTTATTTTCACATTTTGCTCTGCAACATACTGGTTGATTAGTTTATATTAGTGTAGGTTTTGAATTTGAATCCCTTGGTCTTCGGATTGCATGGTCGTGGTCGGGCAAGTTTAGCCAGCGCGATTAACACAGGCGGGCGAGCGAGAAGCTAGTTTGGGAGGGCTTTCGGGCATCACAGGTTTCCCAGGCAGGCCGGCAGGAAGATGCATGCATCCTAGGCGGGCCAGCGGGAAGATGCGAGCAGCCTAGGCTGGTTGGCAGGAAGCTGCTGCGAGCAGCCTAAGTGGGGGCGGGCCGGTGGGAAGAAGCTACGTGAAACCCATGCTACCCGAAGGGAATCTGTAGTGTGATGCCCATTTTTTCATCAATTTTCTTTATTCCGAAGGTTTGTTCCTCAAAAAATTGTATCGGTGGAAATATTCCACCGAAAACAAATTTCATGAGTTTTATTTTTTGACAAAACATGTTTTCGATGCTAATTTTATCGTCAAAAAATTTCGTCAAAAATCTATCAAAAAACTTACAAATCCACTGAAAAATGAATAACTTTCTGCAAAAAAATTTGCGGGTAATACATGATTTTCCTATAGTGTCAAGTCGGGTTGTTAGCTTAGGTAATGAATTTAACTATATATTAGCTTTTTTCTTAAGTTAGAAAGGAAATAACCTAAGTCATAAAAAAATTAGGATCTTCTTTTTAAGTTACCGCAAACTATGAGCTTTGCATAATTTGAATTATTATAAGTTTAAGAGCAAAATTATTACCTTGAATGCTAAGTCCTTTTTTTCTTTTATGAATGCCTTCTATTGTAGGCTATGATTTTCCATAGGCAGTCTAGGTTGATCATTTTCTAGAATTTGTTCAATCATTTTAAAGTCTTTTTGCATTTTTTTAGTTTTTCTCAATTTATAAGTGTCTTTTTATTTTCAGTATCAAACAAGATTTCGACTAGTTTTTTTATTACTACACATGCAACATTAAGCAACACAATAGAAAGTATATAAAACATTGAACAATAATAATTAATAGTGAGTAGTGGCAACACGAAGTAGATAAAATTAAAAATAAGGCTACATTACATTAGTAGTTTACTCAACATTATAAAATGCAAAATAGGATAACTAATTTCAAAAGTACCCCAATAATGATGCTAAAAACTTAACTGGTACTCTTTGTTTGTTTACACCCACTTACTAGTCCTATAATTACTATTTAATTTGCTAAGGTGTAAATCCTATTTGATATAAGTGCATCTTTCATGTCAAGTAATACAATGATGAGAAGAGTATCATTTCCATGGGGAGTTTAAAACTTTTCAAATTCATTTTAGTATTGTCTAACAAAAATACTCTATTTATCTAGCCATTTGATTCAAAAAAGGTTGTACAAAATAAAATAAAATAAAAAACTATAGTTGTGGAAGATAAATTCACAAATTATAAAATTTTTAAGCCTATGTTATTTAAATATACATGTTCGCATAAGAGTTGTTCTCTACCAATTATTGTTGTGAATCAAATAATAAACACTCATGATTTTTATTGTGCTTGTTGTAGTATTAGATGGGATTCAATCTAAGTATAGTTTTATTATCTTCTTAAGATCTCATATCCCTAATTATCAGATATCTATGTTATGGAAAGAATATGTTTTAAAACCTCTAATTATTCTTCTACTCCTCTATCAAGTATCTAGATCACATTAGGTTTTAAGTTTATGCATGACTCATACATAAACAAAATAAAGTTTCAAGGAAAGAAAATAGCTTGATGTAAATTATGAATATTAAACCTACTCTATCTAATTCATGTTTTTTAAATAATCATTAATTCAAAATAGCAAGATTAGCTACACATGGAGATACATTAAAAAAATCACAAATATTTTCATTTAGCTACAAAATAACATTCAAATTATAAAACAAATTATATACTAAAGAGCTAATTCCCCATGGGAATAGTCTCTCTCACTCACTCACACACACACATCTCTAAAATGTTTCAACTTCCCTATATGAATACAAAGGATGCTGTTTATAACATTACAAAGTAAATGAACTGGCAAATATCATAAATATTTTTAAAAGTACCCCTTCCATAATAAATCACAAGTTAGTCTAAAAAAGTATAATGTTGGCTCTTTTATATGGGTTTACCCTCCTGGTATGTTGTTGACTTATATTTGGAGTGCTTTCCTAAAATGGAGTTCACTTAATTTAGGGTTCTAAGGTAAGTTCAGTCAGTGGTAGCATGATATTCTTTATAGGTGAGAAAAGTTATAAGAGTTCAGTGCATAATATCATAGGATTATTACACATTTAAAGAATACTTATTGGTGGATGATATATGTTCAAGCTCCCATTATTCCTTGCTCTCTAAAAATGCCATATATTTAGTTTTTTACATGAATACCAAGTTAAACTAGCATATTTAAAGGGATAAACTTAGGCTTTCAATTACATTTGTTGGAGGCATAGTATGTGTGATATATCTTAAATAGTTCAATTAATTTTATTTGTGGAGAAATTGTAAGTAAGATGATTGATACAGAGTTTATTTCTGGCAACCCAAAAGTTCCCATTAGAAATATGGATTTGGTGTTTCTTGTAGAAGTGGATTCCAAGCATGAAACCACTTAGAAATTCTAGAAGAATGTTTTTGGATGTGATTTAAAGTTTTTGGTGAAGGTCTTCGTAAGTCAGGGATAAATCAATTGGGAAAAGCTAAGACTAGATAAAGATAACCTAGTTTGGGTTTATTTGATTATACTTGGAATATGATGTTAGTGGAGGGGCATAAGGGTGTAATGTGAAAGTTCGTTAGGGATGTTAAGCCCTATGAACTAGTCCCGAGGCTAACCAAGAGTTGGAGGGGGGGGTGGTGAATTGATATTTTAAAAAATTCTTTAAAACCAAAAGAACGATTATCACAAACCAAAATCACCACGGAAAAACAAGTGCGAAAAAAATTAAAGTGCGGAAGCAGTAAAAATAACACAAGGTTTTAAAGTGGTTCAGTTAACTTGACCTACATTCACTCCCCGGAGGCGCCCTCCGAGTATTGCACTACCACGTGACTCTCCTTTAGCCCCCACAGCTAGGCGGAGAAGCCCACACAAAAACACCTCCTTTTTGCCACACCCGGCAAGGCAGAGAACCCAACTCCTTTTTCTTCCTCCTGAAGTAGGCAGAGAACCACGATCACTTGCTGAAACTTACCTCTCCCAACCCTTCCAAGGATAAGAGACTCTAGGGAAGAAGAAGTTGAACAATGCTTGGAGCAAACCTTGTGAATCCCCTCACAAGCTCTCCCTCACAAGATCCTCTCTCTCTCTCTCTCATTTAGGTTTTCTCAGATCAAGACAGCAGCCAATGATATTCAAAAATGTTGAATAAGAGCTCTTAAATAGAAGAGCTTCAAAGGGGCTCATTAATTGCAAGTTGCCGACTTTATCGTCCAGGACGATATGGGAATCGTCCTGGCCAATCAGTATAAATCTGATAAGATCGGCCAGAGCATCACCTTGAATGCAAATTGGATGATCAAAAATTTTATTGATCATCCCGAACGATCTCACAATCGTCCTGGCTAATCAGTTCAAATCAGAGAAAAATTGTCTAGAGCATCGCCCTGAATTTGAGCTAGTTGATATTTATTATCCAGAAGCAACTAAGGGTTTTTGAATAGATCGTCCTGGCCGATCCTGCGATCGTCTAGGACGATGTGATCGTATCAATTATCCTTAATTACTTCCTTGATTCCTGGATCAATTTAGGCATAATTATGTAATATCGTCCAGGCCGATCTCATGATCGTCTTGGCCGATTTCCAAAAATACAGAATACCTAAATTGATCATGGCAGTAATTTCTTTTTGTATTGAGCATATCGTCCTGGCCGATACAGGTATCATCCAGGCAGATCAGTTAATTACGGCTACCTTAACTAAGAAATCCTGATTAGATCTTCTGTTTTGAACTCGAACGTCCAGGATAATATAAAATATCGTCCGGGACGATGTGAGTAAAAACACAAGTTCTAAATCTCTCAAGTGTGTGTGTGTAGTGTTACTTAACATCATTTACTTCAAGCAATTACAATTGACTCAAAAAAGAAAAAATAAAATTATAGAATGAATCAATCCTAATATACCAGTCTTGAGCTGATTCTGATTTCCATCCGATCTTTGAGTCCTGAAAAGTCAGAAGAAAAAAAGGCAATCGTAGTGAAACAAGATTTGTTTGCTATTATTAAAATCATAATCCAAAAACATGTTTGTAACAATCTCCCCCTTTTTGATGATGGAAAATATATCGATAATCAATTCTAAAACAGTAATGCAAAACTAAACAAGCTTTCAAATTTTCAAACAAAACAAATACAAACATACTACAAGAGCAAGTACAAACATACTACTCCCTCTTTTGACATCTCAAAAAGGAGGAGGAAACTAAAAACATAAACTAAAGCAACTAAAAACACAATACAGAAAAAGAAATCAATCCACATAAAACAAAAACTAAAACTACATAAACGAGGGATCCTGATCATCAGATGGAGGTGAAGGTGTTGGAGCCTGCTGAAAGGAGCTAGCTAGCATAGTAAACTGAGCATTGAACTAGGCTATGTCCTGGTCGTGCTGTTACTACTGGTGAGTAATGTAGCTATCAAAATGGGCTAAGTCCTCTATGCGG